TGCATTCCTTACATTTTCTAGGACTCCTTTGTCTGAGCACCTGAGTGTTTTTTTGCTTCCATATCACATTCTTTTGAATAGGCCAATTTCCTTAAAATTCAGCCAAACCAAGCATTTTAATATATCACTGTTTAGATTGGCTGGTGCATACTGAGACATTAGAGGACTTCAACCAAAGCAAAGCGATGTCAATGGAAGTGTAACAAATCAAATACCAAAGCAATGTATAGACTGAAGCGTTGCAAAGAAGTGTTGTTGGGACACGATTGAGAAATGGTAAAATGGATTTGAAATTTCTGTGTCCACTGGTATTTCACATAATCTTATGGATCGAGTTGGCCTAAGAGTTTGATCTACACACTTTGACACTTTACTAGAACTGATGATTTTTGAACAGGTAAGCAGAAATATTACCTAATACAAAGTATAATAGAGTTGTTTGTTTCATTTATTGTGTGTCAGTACACATATCCACAAAAATGACTGCAAAAAAGCATCCAATGACTAATACAAAAGAAAAAAAACTGAGCATGCTTGATTTTCCCTTGATGCTACAGGTAAAATTGCCTGCTGTTGATAGAGTTCACCCACAGGTAACAAGTTTGCTACATGTGTGGAAAACAAGGTTACAGGTGACTAAAACCTTAATGACAGCCCTACCCGAAAACATGCACCCCATCTTTATCCAGACCACTGCTCTGCAGTTCCTACACCTACAGACAGCCTTTTACTCAGAAAATAATTCATGCATCTCTTGCACACCTGTGTCCATTGGGCCACTTAACAATAGTTTACATTATTTAACGTGTGAAAGTTTGGAAGAACTCGAGAAAGCTGTGGAAATACTCGCCTGTGGCTCGTGTTCCCACAGCATTTCTCATTCTCCCAAACTTCCACTCGTGTTTCTATAACTCAATAGAAACACAATACATGTTTCCTATTAATAATACCTACCAATCAGAGTTTCAATGTTGACATCATCATGTCCTGTCTTGAAAACCTGGGTTCCTTTCAAATTGGTGGGTTTCATTCTGCGGGAACAAATAACGCCAATGAGAAGACTCATAAAGTAACTACAATACATACAATCATAATTCTACATTTAAAATTAAGTCCGAGTGACCACTCAGACTTTCATGTTGCACTCTACAATTACTCAGTTTTGTACTCTGCACCCTTAATGTGCATGTGTCATTGACCAATCAGAATTCAGAAATCATTTTGATTATCATAGCAATAACAAAATTAGTCATTCATCATGCAGTCACTTGGGTAACCAATTGCAGGTATCCAGTCACAACTAAATTTTATAATAGGGGATACCTGTAGCTGGATACCCATTATGGAATAGCGTCCATTGAAACATGTCAGCCAAAAAAAAGTGGGGTACCCAAGATGCTTTCCGCACCCATAAAGCTTTACTGCCGTTTTCGGTTCCCTTTGACTCCAAAACCAGAACTCCCAAAAGGGAGTTAAATAATTTTTCCTCTCAGTCTGTTCGAGACAATAGGAGCAATTGGTATCATGAAAAAGTGTGAAAATGTTCTTGATTTCGATCAATGCTAGCTATAAATGAAACAAATATCAGTTATGCAAAACTATGCGAAAAATATTTCACTACAAAAGACACAAGTGACCGCCGCATGGAAATAAACACAAGCTGTGTGGAAATATACATGGTCCTTTGTTGTTTGTTAGGAGAGAGGGTTAAAGAGCTGTTTTGGTTTTGATGTTCGTGTAAAGCGTGAAGCGAGAGCATTGGATTTTTTCTGCAGTGGTTGTCAAGGATGGCGAACAATCGAATGAAAAAAGCAAAAGCGAACAAAGCACATGGATCTGTTTACCTCTCATGTAATTTCACTAAACGTGTAAATACCAGTCCTCGGCTGAGAACAATTATCACATCGAGGCCATCTGGGCCAGTCTATCCAAACCCTGAAAGCATATGGCATCACAGTTGATCGACACAACTAGTCTGCATTCTCCAAACAAACAATAAAACGTTTTGCTTTTAAGAATTAACAGAAACAACAGAGAATAAAGCATTTTAATAACTGAGGCTCTGCGAGTTTGTGTCAGATCTGCGATAAACCCCACAGTTTCCAAAAGGCGTCATGTTTGCCAAGTAGCTTCAAGAGCTGTGTGTCTTTATCACGCTGTCTGGTAAATAACTGGATCTCACAGAAGGAGTAATGCGTAAAGAAGAAGCAAATTGTAAGTTTTTTTTTCTGGTATTTTGTATTGAATGCTTTTGAAGAAAGGATATTAAGTCTGCATTTGTTTTCACTTTCTGTTGTTTGTTAATTTGGCGATCAGTGGGTTTGAACTGATCAGCACATTTGTCAATATCTCTAGACTAGTTGAAAAGTTTGTTCGTTCGGTCCAATTGATAATATTATGGACTTGTTTTCGCAAAGCTCTTGCATTTATTAAATTTAAGCGATGTATTTCTTAACAATGGTGGTTAAATCAAGATGGTCTTCCTACTAAATTACGTCTATTGTTACACAATGAATAGATCAAGGTTTCACAAGCAAATTTCAGGAACAATGGTTTTGACACTGATATACACTTGGGATTTTAACGATTGACATCTCTCACCATCTCTGCATCTAGTTACGCATGCCCTGTTAATGTTTTTGGAAGCTAATTTGAATGTTCAGTCAACGTGTTTCAATGGGCGCAATTCCGTAATGCCATGCCATTCACTTTCTTCGTAATGTTTCTTAGTGTTAAAAGCTTATGGAAAAAACACCACTGAGTTTTTCTCAAAGGAAGTTCTTAACAGACTTTTTTCATCTTGAAATTTGAAATTACTCACGTATTTACGCCATGAATTGTGCTCCACTTAGTCCACATTATTGCACGTGGATTATTGACCAGACATGATGTAAAGATGGCTGGATATTGGCCAAGTTTCTTTTGCATGTTTTTAGACCAAAACAGAGTCAAGGTCCATAAACACGAAAAAAAAAAAAAAAAAGAAAAAAAACCAGGCCAATATTCAGAAATTTTGAATGAGCAAACACGCTTAGGCAAAATAGGAAATTATTATCATATGGGATAAAGAACAATTTTTTCTTGTGGGTCATAGCATGTAACCAGGGCTATCATTAAGTTTCAAGTCATCTGCAGCCTTGTTCTCCACACCCGTAGCAAACTCATTACTTTGTGGGTGAATTCTATCAACAACAGACAATTTCACAAGTAGCATAACGGAAAAATCAAGCATACTCAGCTGTAGCAGGTGTTATGGTTTACGGCCCTCAATGACAGCCCTGGTAACCCTGAGTAGCAGCATAACACCATCTTGCCTGCTCAGGGAGCAAGCCATATAATAATATTAATATTGTAGAGCTAAAACTGGACCTGCATTCTGGGATTTGTTATGATTTGATTAGAAGGATAAGTTTAAATCAACAATTGGCTGTTTTCACACTAGAGACGGACAATCCTTCTAAGACGGGTTATCTGTCCAGCACGGATAGTCCGTCTTAGTGTGAAAACAGAACAGTGTTCATTTTAGATGGATAATCCGTCTATTTTTATCCGTCCAATTAATCGGATGGATAAAAATAGACGGATTATCCCTCTAAAATGAACACCGTTCTGTTTTCACACTAAGACGGATTATCCGTGCTGGACAGATAACCCATCTTAGATGGATTATCCGTCTCTAGTGTGAAAACAGCCCATACCAAGACGGAAAATGTAGCAAACGGATAATCTGTCTAGATGGATTATCCGTCTAGACGGATTATCCATCTCTGGTGTGAAAACGGCCATTCACAGAGTTCCATTTAGGGTCACGCACCAGACAAATTGGCCGGCTGTGAGGATGATTTTGCCTACCTGGTTTGACCATCTAAGAGGAAAGTTTTCTTATAAAGAGGTTTAGTTAAAAAACGTTTGCCCAGCTGTGGAAACCAATTGCCCTCCCGCTGAAAACGTTACTGAAAGCCCTACAATTAAGCTTCCAACTGGGTTCAAAAATATGCACAGCTATTTGCTCTTAGACATTATTTGTTATGCCGACCAAAATAGTAGTAGCTTAGACTGTTCTAGACTATGTACCGCTAACGAAGTGTTTATGTTTAAATGTTATTGCCATGTGCTCAAATTCACCTGCTTTACACACTTCCTTCCTTATTTTCAATTTAAAGGATAAATTTTACCTATGATGATTCAAGAACAAGCCACAGAAGAACAAATAAAAAGACAAAAAAACGCCAAAATATCTTACCTTGCCAAAGACAAAACCCGCCATATTTCCAAAGACAGCTTCTGGCCACGTGATCTTAGATTGTGCTTTTAGTGCCCTTTTAGTGTATGATGGGATACTCAACCGGATGTGACATCACATCATTGCTGCAGCGATGCTTTTCAAACAAATTTTTAAGCCTTTAAGTTTGGCAGCTTAGTTTAACGAATCTGTCGAAATAAAGGCCATTTCCGTTCATTGCATATGTTGCAATATGCAAGGTAATCCATTTGCCACGAAAATTTGAGTGGTCGGTCCTTACTCGGACACGCTCTTAATTCTTGTTATTGTTCTAACCATCCTTCTCACCTGAACACCTCCATGGTAAACCTTTCGTTTTGGTCTATCACGTCTTCTGTTCTTATAACTACAATTTCAAACGCTAACACTCGCGTCAACAGAAGAAATAGAATTCTTGTGAGTGAATCGGTCCATAGAAAAACAGACTAACAATTACGAAAGTTCTTCTTGAAAATCATCGGTTTAAATAGACAAGGTGAGTGAGTTTTAACACCACGAAGTAAACAGTCAGTATCATTATAAAAACAGATACCAATTGGTTAGGTGAATCGCACGTAAAAACCAAGTTGGAACTCGACTAATCAAGATAATGCGCTGCAGAATAGCTAGAAGAACAAAGATATCATTATGAACAATAAAACGATGTTAGAAGGCTGAGGTAAAAAGCTACTTGTGCAGCTAACAAGCGTTATTGTACAGAAAGAAGTAGAAAAAAGCGATGTGTTTCTTTCATCTCGACTTTCGACTAAATGACCGCATTACCTTTAGATGTAACAACATGTTCTGTCTAAATAAGCAAAATGGTTTTAGAAAGACTGTACACTAATGTAATGCATGTACTAAAGAGTCACTAAACTGCCTTCGTGGAAAGAAAACTGGGAACAAGCCTGAATGTTCCGCGCTCACTGCGTCATAAAACGCTCATTGTGACGTCACTTTCCACTTCGCTCTTTTTCGCGGAACGAACAAGTCGTGCGTTCATCGTGAGAAGAAAAAAGTTTTGTTGGCAAGCATGAAGGTGGTGTTTCCGCTTTCGGCGCTGACAGTTTTCTTGATTTTAGCGTATCTTACGCACCCTGCTAAACGAGACGGTAAGTCTTTTCTTGTGTTTCATTTCTATTCATGTTTTCTTTTTTCGTCGCTCACTAAAATTTTTACCCTCCACTCTAACAAATGCGTTTTTTTCATTATGGTTTTTCGTTTTTCTAAACAAATCATGTAGTTTTTATTCGCTGAATGGAAAGAAGAAATTCGCGACACTTTTTAAGAACAAAAAGTTTGGTCTTAATCGTGGGAAAGTTGACAGACAAAAGTTGTTTCCCTTCTCAGAAAACATAAACAACTATGGTCGTCATGGAAATCGTTACGTGGAAACATTGCGCGCGAGCGTTCTTCAGTTTTTTCTCTGTGAAGCGCGCGCTTAAACGGTTACATTTAAGTTCACTCCCGGCTCTACGGCCAATGTTTTTTATTGGCCGTTGCTCTGATCTTTCCATTTGTTTGTTAATGGGCAAACAGTTGCTTAATACAGAACTCACGCTTCTTTTTTGTCTTTATTCTGGCTTTTTAAACTGCTCTTTCAAGTGAAAAAGTCATTTATTTTAAACGAAATGCATTGTGACAATTCGTATATATTATCTTCGCAGAAACTCCACAATCTGTTGAGAAACAGGATTTCTTCTTCAAGGATTTTATCCATGGCACTACCATCACTGGAAGCTGGATTAATGAGGTGGGTGAATTTGTAAAAAGCTGGCGTAAGGCCATACTGCATTGTTCCCTGTTTGTTTGACGGGTTATTGTTGTTGTTGTGCGACGCGCTATCATTGGTCCGATATCCGACCCCAAGGCAAGACAATTTACTCTCACGGTGCCTCTCTCCTTCCAGGTGAATAAATCGGTGCCGGCAAATTTAATTCTGAGGGGTAACCCTGTGACGGACTATTATCCCATCCTTAAAGGAGTAGAAATACTCCTAGTCGCTTTTAATGTTACAGAACGGGGGATAAACTCCACAAGGTGGGACACTTTGGCCCGCACAGATGTAACATTTTTCGCATACGTTTCTCCAATTTACTGTACAGCGAGTTGAGAGATCATCACAATTATTATGATGGTCTCTTAAAACCCGATGAAAAGAGAAATCTCATTTTCAGAAGCGGGGAAACCCCTTCCCCCCC